GCCGATTCTGTGACAATCCGGGACATGACGTCAAACATTGTCGGAAGCTGCAAAGGTTCTTGCGGGACAATCATGTTCCACATCCCTCTAGTTTGGATGGGCCAGTTGCACATCACACATCCACCATGACGTCTCCAACAGGTCAATCATGGCGTTTTGATAGTGGGGCATCACATCATGTTGCTTCTGATGCTTTCGTTTTACTGACATATACTGACTATGGTGGTCCTGAAGAGGTTCGCCTTGGCGATGGTAAGTCACTCCGGATTACTCACACCGGTACTACTACCCTAAATACCCATTCCCACCCTCTTAAACTATCTATTGTCCTATGTGTACCCCATCTTAACAAAAATCGCATCTTTGTTGCTAAACTGTGCAAACCTAACCGTGTGTCATGTTGAATTTTTTCCTTCTCATTTTGTTGTCAATGATCTGATCATGGGGGCGCCGCTCATGCACAGGGAGAACATGCATGATGTCTACTATGCACCTACCTCAGTCTCACCTTCAATAAATCATACTCAAGTTTCGGATGTCTCCAGGTGGCATCACATTCTTGGTCACCCATCTCGTAGTATACTCAATAATGTAGTTCATCAAAATAATAATGAAATTCGTTATACACAATCTTCAGATTTTCATTGTTCCTCATGTTTTGTTAATAAATGTGCTAAAGTATCATTCTCAATTAATTCCATGTCTGCAAGTCGTCCACTTCAACTTATTTATTTTGATGTTTGGAGTACTAATACTATATTGGTTGATGGTTACCGGTATTATGTCATTTTTGTGGATTTTTTTACTCGCTACCCTTAGTTATATCCACTTAAATCAAAAGGTGACGTAGCTAAAATATCTCCTCAATTTCACAGACTGGTTGAGGATTACTATAATCATACCATTATTTCAATTTTTCTAGCTACAATTCTGGTGAATAATGAAGTAGGTGAGATAAAAGGTGTGGTGAAGGTGGAAGCTAATGAAGAAAGAAAATGAATAAGATGGAAATGATGGATATGAAAGGTGTTAGATATGGAGATAGTGAAGATCGGGTGATCGTAAGATAGAAGAAAGAAAAAAAAGATGAAAGGGGATGAGAGATGCAACAATGTGACATGAGAGATAGATGCATGGAAACAAATCAATGATATTTCTTTCCCGTTCTTTCCATGATTTTATATAATTTTGGTAATTATTTCTCAACAATCTCAATCCGAATGTCTATGTTTAAACATTTTGGTTGATATCGTGGAAAAGAAATTATAAAAAATATATAACATCATCAAATAAGGAAACATTTATCTTACTTATTAATATTTATGTGTCTATTTCTCTCACACCACATGTGCACCGTGCAGTCGTGCACATTTTGGCATTAAAGATGTTCTGGTGCTTTACTTGACCATCATGATATATCCATGTATCCCATATGTATTCAATATCAATGGTCACTGATATGTGCATTTTATGTATTGGATTTGTATCCATAATTTTATAGAAGTACTAGACTAATTTTCAAAACAAGTAAAACTTCTTATACTTGAAGTCCCAGATCGATACGAGCGTAAAAACTTTGTATATATATCCACGAGAGAGGATATAGATAGATGTACTTGGAATTACCAACTTTCAAATAGATAAGTTAAATTAAAGATCTATCTAATTAAAGAATATATATGTAAACATAAATTGTTAAAATAATATACATATAGAGTTTAAGTGTTATTCAACTTTCAAGTTTTAGGTATGAGTATTTTATTTCATATTTTAAAACTAATTTTTGAATTTTTATTGTGGCTATGACACTCACATTTTTTTATATATGTTCCTTTAAAATAAAGCTACTTTTTTGTAAATAACCCCTATATTTTTAATATTTGCAAATATGCTCCGTATCCATACCCTATATTTTCAAACAATCTGCATCGCCGTTTTTATATCTGTGTATATGCATAACGGCGGATCAGTGTATCCATGTCCATGCAATATACATTGAGGCTATTATAATTCTAATGCATTTCATGGTTCCATGTCGTTATCTTATCATTTATTTATGCTTAAATTGTTCAACTATTATAAACAAATTGCTCCACGCACACAAGTTATGTTGCTCTGTGGTGCCGTAAATTTTTCTTGTATTGTAAAAATGTGTACTGATAATTGAATATACTCTTAAAAATACAAAAAAATTAGATGTATTTGAGATTTCAGTCTATCTATTAACATATGTGTTGAATGTATCAAACGTCATTTTAAAATGTGTCAAGTTCACACGTGTTATCATTTAGTCATCCACACAACATCCTAAAAGAACAAATTTAATTATCAAATTAAACTACATAAAATGTTTAGTTTTTTTGTATAATTTAGAAAATTTGACAAATTTGCGCACATATTTAAATATTTAATCATAACACTAAGACACGTGATTTCGATAATACTAGATTTATTGTTTCGTGTTGTTATATGGAAGATTGATTATATGAGAGAGGGATTTGACGTACGGGGGATATTGTGCATTAAGCTCATCATCTCTTAATAATATTTAAAAGCAAAAAAAAAATTGTTAAACAAGTTATAGCTAAAATAGGTCAACATAAAAAGCAATAAATCATGGTATCCGAAAAGTTTCAGATGACAAAAAACAAAAGCAATAAGTGAATAAAAAATACTATGTATTGAATATTACAAATATTATAATTGGAATATACCATCACATCAGCTTGTTTAAATGAAATGATGATAAAAATATAAGAAAGTGCATACTAAATACTATGAAAGATTCAAGAGGTTGACATTTATGTCTTCAAATTCGCAAATACTCAAATACTGCAACACAACTAACGAAAAATGTAGCAAGATAACGATACAGCAGATACATATCGTTTTTATTAAGCTCAAGTGAAAATATAAAAAAAGTATCATAATATTGTTGAATATAACATAAAATTTCAACAATTTTATTGTTTATTTTAGGTTGACTATTAATTCTAATTTATAGTTGTACCGTGAGAGTTAAAATTTAAACCACAAATATTGAGTCGTACAATTAAACAAATACACGTACGATATGACAAAAGGTCATATATACTACAATATAGTATTAGAAATTAGGAAAATTTCACCCTAATAATCTCAACTATTAACAGTCTTCTAATATTAATCCCAAGTGTGCATAATTCTAAAATAATCTGAAATTTATGGATTGTCTTCTCATATTGATCCGACATGACCTGCTACTTGCTAAACAGGCAAACAAATTAAAAAGAAAAAGGAAAACGAAGGAAAGTTAACGCAGGGCAGACGACTCAAACCTAGCGTTTGCATGTGGGCCATCTTTCCCATTTGCTTTTCTTTTCTGATTTCTTTTCACTTTTCTTTCCTAGTTCCTACCCCTTTCTTCTTTTTTATTCCGTTCTGATGCAATTGACGAACGACACACTAAGGAAGAAGAGTTCGAATGATTTGGGTTGTAGCCATGGTTTCCAGATCCAGGTTTTTGCTCCAACTATGAATTATTCTCATGTATTATATTTCTTCTTTTTATGTTCTCCCTCCACTCCATATGATTATCTCCTTCCAGGGCCGTCTAATGAATTTGGAGGCCCCGGTTCTAAATGTAAAACAGAGGCCCCAAATTAATATTCTTTTTTTTTTTTAAAATATCAAACTAAATACTTATGCTCAAATAAATTGAATACTCATTAAAAAGAACTAAAAAGAGTAAAAGGACCAACGAAAAAATCATGCATCTATATTTTTCTTCCTTACTAATTGTATTTTACTGATTAATATTAATATATAATATTACTCCGTACTATATAATACTAAAAGAAATTTAAAACTTTGGGGCCCCATAAATTCGGGGGCCCTGTTCCGGATAACTTATTGAACCCCCTAAAAAACGGCTCTGTCTCCTTCCCACTTCAACTTCATTTTGTTTTACTCCGTATTTAGGTTTTCAGCCATCTTCGAATTTGAACATTTTTCTTTCACTTTCGGATTTGAAAAAGTTAACTTGGTAAATCCAAACTCAAATTTGACATTGTTCATGAACGATAACAAAAATTGAATGCCAGTCGACCAATAGTTCATGGAGACCAGGCCATCTGGAATGGACAGACGGATGGACAACAACATTGGGACTGATAGAGGGCCAGCGTCAAAGAACAATTGGGTAGAGGAGAGTGCATCATTTAATTTCTAAACCAAAAATTCATAAACATTTAAGAATTTAAGAAAGTGGATAGCAAGAGTGAAGCAGGCCGGAAGAAGAAAGATGGGATGTGGGCGAGAAGGGGCTGACTAATCGGAAGATGAGGAGGGAGGTGTGTTCTATGAACTTTATGAAGAGTAAAGAAAAAAGTCGAAAAGATTAAAAAATATATAAAGCCAATCAGAACAAGACATGTGGTCGGGTGACCTGACGACCTGATTCATTCAGGTTACCGGTTCATTCTGAGAAGATACTCTTTTTAGATCAGATTATATTGGAATTACTCATATTTGGGATTAATATTGGAAGAACCCTAATAGGTGGGATTAATGATGTGAATTTTTCCTTGAAATTAATAGCCGATTTTTAAAACTTTAACATTAATTCATTATATATACTATAGTACGTGGTACGACGTATATAACAAAAATTACACGGAGTAATTTCAAATGAGTACAATTTCAATTCGGGATACAAATCTATAGAGTTGCTTAAATACCCGATATTTGGATCGTATACTACCTCCGTACCCTATTTAAGTTCACAGTTTGACTTCACACAGATTAATAAAATAAATCTGACTCTACTGTGGAGTGCACTGTTTGGCACTGTTTGGACAATGTTTGGCACTGTTTGACACTGTTTTGGTGTAGATTTATTTGCTAAATAAGGAAAATGTGAACTTGTATGGGACATCCGAAAAAAGAAAGTGAGAACTTAAATAGGGTAGGGAGGGAGTAGTAATCTGGTGAGGTGCTGGACCGTTTCTGTAATAGATGTTATTTTATTGGACCATAGCATAAATAGTCATATTTTAGTTGCCTTGTGTAAAATACAAGATTACCATTCTTTTCTGAAACCTAATCTACAGACCATCTTCTTCTCCATTTCGTCTCTTCAAGATTACCAATATACTCCGTACGATTCTTCATTGTAATAGTTACATTAATTGTCCAAAATGAGGAAACAGCCTAATCAACCGTGCTTACAGGATCATGAGAGACTAGTTGATAGGATAAGCAGTTTACCAGATCATGTTTTGGCTAAAATTCTTTCTTTGGTCCCGTTGGAAGATGCCGGCAGAACCAGCATCTTGTCTCCGAGATGGAGGTACATATGGACCTCTGTGACGAACTTTGACTTTTTCTTTGCTGATGATAAGGTGGGCGGGCTGGAGAGATTTGCGACTATGGTGGACCACGTGCTTGCAAAATGCAATTCAATGAATGTGGACAGCTTTTCTTTGTTCTGTCCTGAAATTAAGGACTTGTCTCGCGTCAACGATTGGGTGTCTTCTGGGGTTAGACTCAAGCCGAAAAGCCTGGTGCTGAAGACAGGTTCTGGCATTCTTGATGATTATGGATTGGTTTGCCTTCCACCATACCCTAAGTGCACAATCACTTACTGCTCGATGGTAGCTCTGGAGCTGGAGTCGTGCTTTGACATTGAGATACCCGACTCGATTGTTTCTTTCCCATGCCTCAAAACTCTTACTTTCACTGGCTGGTTTCCTTATCATTGTCATGTGATGGACAAGCTCACCAGTAGCTGTCCAGTCCTGGAAAAACTACACCTTGAGGGGTTCCTTGAACCTAATGCAGATTTGATGTTTGACATTTCTATTCCCACTCTGAAGGCTATGCACTTGGAATTCTTTACTGACGAGAGTGGTCTTCATGAGCATTATATCATAATCGATGCCCCCAAACTTGAAGATCTGTATATCGATGATCACACAGAAGCATGCTATTATGGAAGAAACCTGGATTCTTTGATTAGTGTTCATGTTGATGTTGATTATGAGGGCTCTTTGGTGGGTGATGCTAATTTTGAACGACTCAAGCGATTGCTTATGCTTTTTGCCAGTGTTTCCAAAGCTAAGCGTTTAACATTATCAGCCGCTTCTTGTAGTGTATGTTAGCCATCCTTGAAATTAAGCCATGGATTATACCTTTTTTAAGCTTTTGTCTTGGTTTTATTCATCAACTGATATTGCCCTCATTTTTAGAGTCTTAAATCAGCAATGGGTTGTCGTCCCTTTCCAACATTTCCCTCTTTAGTGGACTTGGATTTTGAGAGCCCTCATCCCTATGACCTGACCCTGCTAGCACATTTTCTCCAGAACTCCCCGAATTTAGAGCGTCTTTCTCTGCACAAGGTGAGCATTCAATGATTTACAGTTTGCGAATTCAATATTTTTTTTATGTAGGAAATAACTTTATTACATGACAGGTATTTACAAGAGATGTTGAGGAGCAATCAATTTGGAATCCACTCAAGGACTTGCTTGATTGTTTGAAGCTGAACCTAAAGCAAGTTGAGTTTCCGTGTTTCAGAGGACGCAAGGATGAATTTGAACTGGTAGAGTATTTTTTGGGCAATGCAGAAGCTTTGGAGATGGTGTTAGTTACCACTTCCCCCGATCCTTTTGAAGACGAAATGGCTGAGAAAATAGAGGCATTTGATAGAGCTTCACAGGCTTGCGAAGTTTACGTTGGTTATATATAGGGAGGGAGAGGACTGAGGAGAACACTCTCTGGAAAAGATATGGAAGCACTTGTGGACATGTGAGTTAGCTTGTTTGGGAATCCATTTCCAAACGATATAATGAACTCAAATGTTATCAATCCTGGTTGCCCCAATTCTTGGTTCTTATCATCTACTTAGAGAAATTGTCCTAAGTAGGACTAAAACATTGTAAATGAGTTTAAGTTTAAATTTCCCTAAATAAGACTTCCTATTACCCATATACTCTTATTATAATTTAACTCCCTAATTCTATTTTATTTCATCTCACATCTCTCCGTCTCTCTCCTGTTTCTCATTTTCAGCCATAAACTGTCATCTCATCTCTTTCCCCTCTCTTCCAATTGCAGCAACGTCTTTCACTCTTTTCTCTACATCGAAATACAATTTCTCATTTTCACAACGGCTGCATAATCAACTTGTTGTAGGAAAGTGTTCATCTCCTTCTCTTTCTTCTCCTTCATTTTCTTTTCCTCCGCCATCTCTGCTTTATTGTCCATTTTTTTATATGATATTCCTCAATTGCCTTCATCTTTGTTTTTTTATTTTGTATTGAGTTTGATTAGTTTAGTCGACACTAAGGAGCCCTTATAGGTCATGCGGCTTGATGTTGTTGAAAGGGTTATGAAATAATGAGCAACCGGTATTACATTAAGTGCTCGTTTGGTAGTTTACACGTTAAATCTTTGTACGCAAAGTGATTGCATGCAAAGTATAGGGAAACAATCATTTTGCATATAAAATATATTACATTGTTTGGCTAGATGTATAATTTATTTTTAAATTGCACGCAAAGTCGTTGCAGTGCTTCATAAAAGGCATGCAAAGTATTTTACCACCCTTCCCCCACGTAAAATACTTTACATGGTACAGTGCGAAATGTTTTTAAAAAGTGCCCTACAGTTTACGTTAAATAATCAAACCAAACGGTGTAAACATTTTACGTCCTTACACTTCGCACGCAAAGTAATTATTTTACATCAAACTAAACGCCCCTTAAGGTTTGGATGTTGTTATGGTATTGATTTCAATTAGTTTTTTTTTTTAATTTCATATTTTTTATTCCCTGAACATTTTTAAATCTCGGAGTGCAACATTACTATTCTTTGTTCGAACATTTTTTGTGAATAATGTCATTTGTATGACAATACTTTTATAAAAAAAGATGACACGTCATATATGAGGGTCCCAAGAATCGATCAAGCAATTATTTAGAAAGAGAGTGCAGTTTCATCCCAAGACGATATTATTAAGTGTTTTGAAAAACAATCTATATATATATATATATATCTAATCTAATAATCTAATAAAACCTGGTCCATGGTTGAACAAAGATTATTGCATGGGGTGGTTATCAATTTTTTCTTAGAGGTGCATTAATGGTGGAAAGAACTCACATGGACGAACAAATCACTCACATGTGGTTCAAGACAAAATTTTCTTAAGGTTAAGACACAATTGTTTATGATTATAAAAGACGTGGAAAGAATGAAAAACACTACCCTATGTGAAAAAACACTACCCTATGTGATAGAAAGTTCTTTTTAAATCATGCATGACTCTATGCTTCTGCACGCCCTTTTTTTTCAATTTGAACTTAATGATGAGAAATGGAGATAATTCCTTCTTTTAAAAGATCATGTTGTTTTGTTCACAAGAAATTCTGCCTTGTCTAAATTAGTACCTTACTTTTCATGTATCATTCAGGATAGGTGACTATATGCTTAATGTCTTATGAGAACACCAATCTATTTACAATTTACCCACTTTTTGGGTAAACCACACGTTACAAGCTCATAGATTAAGAATGGTTAATTTGGTGTAGTAAACTAAAATTATGTAATTGCTTGATGTTGGGCCCCTACCTTGAGAGCTTGGCCATGTTGCCCTTTCTTCTTGTACATGTAGGCAAGAGGTTTATGTTGGTAAGTTTTTCAAAATAATATACTTAGAAGGAGACGTGTCTTGAGTCTTCTTGACAACCTTGGCCATATCCGTACTGAAGTGGTCTCTTTATATAATGCTGGGTATATGTCTCTTATGGTTATAGTTTCCAATGTTTTTTCCAATGTTTTTAAGACTTGATCTTCATTTATCTTCCAGTTTTATTAAGGTAGGATAAAAAATGGCTGAATATATCAAGGTAAGGTAATTTCCAGATCCATTCACTTGGCTTTTCGAGATTGTTAATGAATGAGACTGCCAAGATTCAAGGGGGTTGCTGGGAGGGGAGGGCTCCCTGTCTGTGTCTGAGGTCCTGATTTTGAAAAAAAAAAAAAATTGGTCCAGATTTTTTAAATTTAATCTATGCATTTTATCAACTTATTGGATGTTGTTGGATCAATTTGTTCATTTTGTTATTTCATTTGTCAATGTTTTTGTTTTCTTTCTGAGTTTCTCCTCATAGTACTGTTGACTGGAGTTATATATGGCTGTTGAAATTACTGGTGGGTCTGAAATGATTTTTCATCTTGGGACACCAGTATGCATGATGGTTTTTCTCTTTAAATTCCGTAAGATACAATTGTGCTTGTGTTTTCTAATTATATACATGTTGGTCCATTGTTGTTCCTTGATAGTGTGAACTAATGAATGTTTTTCAGGAACACCAAAGACAAGTGCAGGTTCAAGCAGGCTGCCAGTTATGTAAAACAGCATAAGAGAACCCTTTTCACTTGTTTAGAGACTGCCCAAAAGTACAAATGTTGTGGACTAAGTATGGGGAACCATCTGCAGGTAAAGGAGGGACTTTTGTAGGTTGGCTCAAGGCTGTGTTCGGTGCTTGTTCTGAGGAGGATGTTTGCAGATATGTTAAGAGATGCAACTTGCAACCTCTTTTTGTATATAGTTGAGTAGCAAACATATTAGAAATTGATGATTACATATTTTAATGATTATCTTCAAACTCAAAGGTGGTTGAATTAAATTGTACTACGTATTCAGCTTTGTAATATTAATATGTTTTTTATTATTCTATTTTGTGTAAGAGAAATTATTATACAATACTAATCGAATTAAATGCTACTCCCTCCGTCCCGCTATGATGGTCCCATTTTACCTTTTCGGTGCGTCCCACTAAGATTGTCGCATACCTTATTTGGTAAAATTTGTGTGGTTCTAAATCATTCATACTTTATTCTTAATTACTTTATCAATTTAATATCAACCACATAAACTCACTTTTATTAATAAATGTGCCACCTTCTCTTGTCCCAAACTTGGGGGACGGAGGTAGTATATAAACTATAGCAAATTGAACACATTGAAGGTGTGTACGAATGTTACAATTTATGGCAAATATTGTAATCCCTCTGTCCAAAATTATCTTCATAGTTACTATTCATACGGTCAACTCAAATTATTCTTAATATTTTACTTTATACTTTCTCCGTTATTTTTTAGTTGCAACGGTCAAGATTTCACACTTGTTAACGCACATCTTTGACCGTAATTATATCTTAATCTCTATTAGTAAAAAATAATTTAAAATCAGATTTTGAAAATTTGTAATGAGATGAATTGAACAATATTTTTTTTAAAAAAATAATTTTTGTAAAATAATACCGTAAAATGTAATCAAAGTAGAACATGTGAATAATGTAAAATTCAACATGTTGTGATTAAAAAAACGGAGGATAGTATATCAAATTTTTATCAAATTTATATTTTCTTGATTAGGCTTTGTAGCGGTTTTAATGTGGTTTCTGAATATGTAAATTTTATTTACTAAAAATAATCTAAGTGTAAACAGGGATCAAGTTGCTTTATCGTCAGTTAAGCGTCGTAAACCGAACTATGAAAATAAATATGGGACATAAGGAGTAATAAAGTTGTAATGGTGAAAAATTCAGTTATATAAATTAACTTTAGTGAAGTTATATAATTTAACTTTAGCGAATGGATAATGGTCAAGATTTCTTATAGAAAACGATCTTTATTACTATCATTTGCATCCATATTTTATTTGGTCATAAAGCTTTTAGTGACCGACCACTTTTCTTGGTCGCAAAAAGCCTTTTGCGACGAGGCCAATAAGGACCAACCTCCAACCACATTTTTTACGAAAAATATTCATTATAAACTACAATAGTATATATTTTGTTTTTGCAACCATTTTGAGTTGTATCTCATAAGTAACAGTAGAAAAGAAAACACGCGTAACACGCGTAACAAAACTAGTCATTGCGTATAAAATAAAACTATCATGGATGAATGTTGTTTATATCACTTTCATTGTGTGGTGTTTGTTACAACACTATCATGTATGCTCATTTGGTATCACTTTATGCTTATTTTAAAACGTTGTATATTTCAATCTTATCATACTACATTAGATTCACATATTGAAATTAATTGGAATTGATTATAGACATAATTTAAGAATTTTTTATAATTAAAACAAATAGTGAGCACATTAGAGTATCAATATAGAAGATATGAAGCTGATATCACAATTCTCAATGTTAGACTCCTAATACTCAAAACAACGCTCTTGATGCTCACTAAAATTGCATTGATGCTCATTTAAGAGAAGTCACGATTTTCAACAAAATTACGAAATTGCCATTTGCCACCAGCCGTACGGTGCCATCCATACAGCCGGTTGTACGATACACGCTTCCGTGAATATAAGTATTCCTCATTTAAATTCTTTAATCAAATTATTCTGTGATGGATACTGGTATTATTTTTCTCTCCTTTTTAAAAATAAATAAATTTAAATAATAGCTCAATTGCTTTAATTAAGTAAAAAAAAAAGAATAAAAAAAAGAATTGCTGTAAATGGAAGTAAAGTATAGATAACACAACAACAACATCCAAGTGTTATTCCCAAAAGATTTTGAGATCAGCTAACATGAACCGAACTATGATATCGGAGATGTAAAGGAAATAAGATAAAGAAAATAAAAAGAGAAAGTGAGATAAAAATGATAAGATAAAGATGAATACTACGTATAAGATAAAAGGAAATAAAAATCTAAAAAGTAAAAATAACATATAAGAACATAAAAAAAATAAAAAAGACAAAAAAAGAGAGAAAACAAGGAATTGAAAAGAGAACAATCCTCCATATGAATTTTGCCTTCAATTCTGTTTTTTCGAGTCCACATCCGTTGCCCCCCCCCCCCGCTCTCCTTTCCCCCTTCTTCTACCCACCTCTTCACTTTTGTATCACCATAATTGAGACTCTTGCATCTTATCTTCTATAGATGTTTGCACTCACTTTTGTCTGATTATGATTGTCTAATTCCTCAAATAATCTAGGTCCAATAATCTAAAGTATAAGTAATTGTGTTTATACTTTTATTCTCACAATAGGATTTGTTTAGTTTATATTAAAAGTACACAACTTCTCTAATAAAAAATGATGGACTTAATAATATGAAATTGAATGAGAACAATGATGGAAGAGGAGAATCTTTGCGGCTCATATGATCATGCCTACCTCTTCCGACTTCCATTGCAAGCAACACCCAATAGCACAAGTATTTTAAAAAAAATCATGTGGTTGGTCTTTGAAATGTGAAAATAAGCAACTGATGAAAAAAGCGCAAATAAAATAGAGGAAGAAATTAATAAATGAGTGCTTTTATTTTCGGAAGGAGACTTTAACATGGTCCCAAAATCAATCACATACAGCTTCAGTGCAATGAAGATGATTACTGTCCTGCATTTACATTTTCAATATGAAACAAATATGAATGACCTCTTTAATTTAATTTGCTCTATTTTTTTTATTTAGCTAAACATGAAATTAAGAGTAGATCAGACACTGATATACTTTGACCCCCGAAAAATGTAGGCAATGCATGAAACAATAGATTTTCATACAAAACCGATATTAAAAGAAATAAACCTCCATGATTTTGAGATATATTAAAAAGAAAATGAAAAGAAAAATTAAAGGAGCGGATGGAATATGTAGCTAGAACAAGATCAGAAGACGGCAAAACGGATGAACACTTGCAAAGTACGAGTAATAATTAGCATACCATTTATACCCACTACAACATTTCAACATCTAATGTATCAACCAAAAGTGTTACAATAGCACTGAATTGTTACATTAGAGAAAATGTAACATTTTTTTACCATTACATTTGCTCATGTTGCATTTGACCTATTGTAACACTTTATAGTCCCTAATGTAACATTTATACTTCTAGAAAGTGTTACATTAGGTCTAAAATGTGTTACATTAAAGAAAAATGTAACACTTTTATAGGTATGTTACATTTTCAATGTTACGTTAGGTCTTAAATTAAATTGTAGTAGTGACCATTTATGTGTTTGATAGATCATACGTTTGATGAAAAAATAGAAAGGGGAGACAAGATGGGCTGTGTGGGGAGGAATGTCATAATCATCCCTTGTTATCTAAACCCTTGGCTTGTCATTTTCAAGTTTAGTTACCCCTCGCAGTCTTCTTAGCTATCTAAAAAAAATGAATTGATGTTGCTCATCCTCTAAGGTTCGGGTGGGAGCTAGGGGATGCTTTAGGTTAATTTTTCAAATACAGTAATAAATGGTAATATAAGACATTCTACACTAATAATCTCTACTGAAAGTGTTTATAAAAATAATCTGAACTACCAATAACTTTCACTGAAATAAATTGAAATGAATTAAAATTAATGTCTCTTTAATACTTCCAACCTTTATTCTCACTTTCTCCTTAGCTTTCGTTCTTCTTAATTAGGTCGAATTTAAATCTATAAACGTTTAATATCAGCGTCATCTCCACCATAGAGTTTCTCTTTAGGCTGGAAGATATAAGTGTTACACGAGACGAAAAATGGTGAAGGGGAAAGTAGGAGTATGAATTGAGAATATTAAACGGATGTTGGTTTGAATTAATCCCAATTTATTTGTTTGAACACAATTTCTACTTCGAATTATTTTTATAAACATCGTAGAGATTATTATTGTAAATTCGTTAAAGTAGAGATTATTCTTATGAACTCAGCCTTTTTTATAATCGAGGTCTTTGTTGTGAATGGTTTCAAAGGACGAATCCATTGCCATCATACCCTGTGTTACTATATACTATGTATATGAAAGTAGGAAATTCTTTGGGAGCAGGACCTCTCTCATTTTCATAGGTTGAATTGAACTCAAAACCTCACCCAAAGAGACTGGAGAGTAGGTACTAGGTAGCCAATCAAGTAAGTGACACCACCTTTCTCAAATCTCAAGTAAAACGATATACTTAAATTAACAAAAGTACAGATTTAGATTCCAACCAAGCAATACTTGTTACATTTTGGATCACCAGAATGCAATATGCATTTAAATTTTTAGTTGAAAAATGTAGAGATAATTATTGTAAATCCCGAAATTTGAGAATTGTATCATTAAAAGTATGTTTTTCACTATTATTATATTGTATCATTATTATGTCTATGAGAATTCATATTGTAGTTTCATCAACTAACGTAACAACAAATAAGTCTTTTTCATAATCAGGGGCGGAGCTAGAGCACTAGGCTGGATTGAGCAAGAAATATTTCTCAATCCTTTTTACACAAAGCCTTACTCCTATTTTAGCCACTCGACTATTATGTCATTGACACTTTTGTATTCGATTTAGAGTTTTTTCACTTTTGATCCATCGACTATTGTGCGATAGACACTTTTGATACTCGTCTTTGAAAAATTTTCACATTTAGTCTTTCGACTTTCGTAAAAGTGACACTTTTGATCCTTCAACTATTATAATAGTGACATATTTAGTCCTCCGCTTATTGTGTCAAAATTTTATTGGAAGGACTAAAAGTGTCAATTTTATAATACCGAAGGGACTAAATGTGGAAAACATTGAAGTCGAGAACTAAAAGTGTCTCTCGCATAATAGTCGAGGACTAAAAATGAAAAAATTGAAAGTCGAGTACCAAAAGTGTCACTGACTCAAAAATGGTTGATTTCCAAATGGTTGATTTCCACCACGTGAGATGTGAACTTGGCATATTAATTATTCTTGTATGCACTTCATTAATTTGATTTACATTCAATATTTTCACTTA